CAAATTATGATAACCCACATGCATTATCTTGCATTTATTATAATTGAAACCCATTTGCCATTTATTTCCCCAACTCTCTAAATGATCTAAATCCTTTTGTAAATCTGCAGCATCCTCTTCACAGCTAGCAGCACCCAAGACCTTAATATCATCTACAAAATTAAGTGATTTATTGATCAATCTTTCATCTATATCATTGATGGAAATCAAAAAGAGCAAAGGTCCTAAGACAAGGACTTATTGCATTAATCCAGTTTGACTGAACTCCATTTATGACAACCCTCGTATTTCTTCCATCCAGCCATTCTTCTATCCAACTTATCCCCCACACCTATAGAGATATTTTTTATAAGCCTTTTATGTGGCAACTTGTCAAATGATTTCTGAAAATCCAGATACACTAAATCTACACTCTTATCCTCATCTACATAAGTAGTAACGTTTTCAAAGAATGTCAAAAGATTTGTGAAGCAAGATATCCCCTTAGTGAAACCATGTTGACTATCCAATAAAATTCTAAACTTTGTTAAATGACTTTGCAAAGCATCTTTTATCAGACTTTCCAAAACTTTTCCTACAACTGATGTAAGACTAATAGGCTTACAATTACTGGGCAATTTTTATCACCTACATTGAAAAGAGGAGTAACATAGCCAACTTCCAATCTTCTGGCACCTTATACAATCACCAAAGTCTAATTATTAACTATTAACTTTTTTATATAACTAGATACTTGTTACTAACTAGTTTTATCTCAGTTTTTGACTGTAATTTTGAGAAGGACTATTTTTATGTTGATAGTGTCCGGGATATGATCCTTGGTCTTCTTGATGGAAGTGTGGTGCATTATTTACACTTTTTAATTATTAATCATTAAGAAAATCTTAAGTGATCATATAGACCATTAACCACAGCCTATCATAAAGACTTTAGCTTCACATAATCTGTTCAGTATTGCAATTAATCAACAGAATTATTTTTAGTTATCTTCATCATGCTCATCACTCTTAGTACCGATCAGCTGCATCTGTCATTCCTAGTGATGATAGAAGCCTAGATATCATAAAATAGATTCACTATGAACAAGAGCATCTCACTGTACTTACCTCTGGGGAGAAGTTGCAATGCCTTCTATATGTCAGTTGACTAAATAATGCTCTAATGTGAGATGTATTGGAATTACTTGTGTTGCTATGTGCTGTGATTAGAGTTTGATCCATCACAGTTCATTACGTTGCTTCTAATGGATCAAAATGTTAATCAGTGTTTTGGTGAATAATTTTTTTTATATAATTGTAGCAAATATATTAGATATCTCTATACCTTTGTTCAGAACAAAGTAGTGTAGTTACATGTAAATAGAGAAAACTCGGATCCCAGACCTAGGTAGAATATAAATCTTTGTTGGATCATACTTTCCATCATAATTTAGCTGGTATGATGACAGCTGCATTAGCTCAAAATTTTAATCCTCAGCTGTGCACGGAATAATTCGATATGAGAAAATATGTTTCACATTTTGTGGAATAGATATGTCTCGTACTAGGTTCGTGGATTGGTAAGTGAAACCACTCTTTGTATCAATGCATCAGAAGCTGTCAGCAACCATACAAATATATTTGGATGTAAATACTCCTGAAACAGCACTAATCCTGACCACTAACATTATTGATCTTATTGGTGAAACTGAATCTCCTCTGATTATGGATACCTTTACTTTTGCATGTCTTCAACCATATCTCACTTTTTCCACCCATGTTTACCCCCTTTGAAATTTTAAGAGCTCAAGTCTTTTATGGAGTACTGGCTTGAAACTTTCCAGAAACCAATTTCTCCAGTTGTACAACATTCCTTACAAATACCATTTCCAAATCAAGCCATGTTCTTTTTTTTTCTTATACCTGCTGTAATTAATGTTGGAGCACATTACTATGAACTTTACCTGTAAAACATGAAATATTTTATACTGTTTTTAAATCATAACATGTTCATGATTACCTACAATCATTGAAAGCACATTTCCATTCCTTTTTTTTTGTGATAAATATTGCTATTTCAGGTCTTTAATGACATCCATTTTTTATTCAACCTATGATTCTTTAAATGTTTTAGGTCCAAAACACTAGTTATATTCTTGTAAAAGTATTGTATTTACTGCTAGTTTTTATTTTCAAGTTTATGTCTATGAAACAAACATATTTTGAAGATGTAAATATGTATGTTTGTATATATATATATATACAAATATATTATCACAAAAACATTTTGCAAAATATTATGAAGATTGTAAAGAAGTTTCAATTTCCTGTAGATACATTAACATTACTGGCATAATCTAGTTTCATTTAATTTTCTGACAAATCTATATTGCACTGGCTATGGAAATATGAACTAACTTTTCATTACTGTTACTCAAATAATGTTAAAAATATTGTTTCATGTTAATAATTTAAGAGGAGTAACAAGTATATTTATAAAATGTTTTCCTAAAAAGCTAATTTTGTGATTTTTATAGCACTACTTGTCAATCATAGTGACAACTGATTAAACAGTAATGTGGAAATTTGTCTGAAAATTTTATCGAAAGAAAAACAGGTATTAGTTAATGCACACATTGAAAAGTGTTTTACACATTATTTGTAAAAATATAGTGCTTTTCAGTTATAAAATCTTCCACAGACACTTAGGCTGTTCATCTTAACTCTTTAAACACACAGTTTTTTTGGAATTCTGCCAGAATTATTTCATGATTTCCTAATAATTATCACCAAACCTTATAAAATTTCTGGTTGATAACAACATGGTTTGGATTAGTTTCAGCCAAAGAGACATAAATGTTATCAGATACTGTCACCATCCAATGGGTAAACCGTAATATTTGGCTGGACGCTAGCAGTATCTGCTCAGGCTTAAGGAATTAATCAAGTTAGAATTATATTTTAAAATTGGAAGCTTCAGTGAATAGTGAAGTTATTCATTTTAAGGACTTAAGTTTAGAAGCAGTGTAATATTAAAACTTATTTGTTCATGAATTTGCACCATATTAAATTCTAAGTAGTTTAATTCATTAAGTGCATATAATAAAATGTTTTCTTTCACATTTATTAGAATGCAAAAAAAAAAATGTTTTTCATAAAAATTGAAAAAGAAATCTATTATGTTAGGCTGTAAAGCCCATATTATGACCAAGTTTTACCAAATTAAAAGAAAGATTAATGCTCTTTATGGGATGAAGATGGATTAAGATTCTGTGTCTTAACAAAAGAAACAGGGTATCACTTGTGATAGAATAGCTATACATTTTTATAATTCTTTAAAAATGTGCTTTCTTCTTATGAATAGGATTTTATCAGATGCTGTCTGAATAAAAATCCCAATCTCCGCCCAACTGCAAGAGAACTCCTCTTTCATCCAGTGATTTTTGAAGTACATTCTCTTTCTCTTCTCTGTGCTCATGTCATTGTTAACCATGCATGTGAGTTAACTTTTGTTGACACATTATTCTTTCACTTATGAATCGTTACACTAATTTTTATCATTTTCAGAATAGGATTGTATTAGCATTGTTTTGTTAGTTACGTCCATATTAAACAAGTTATTGTTACAATTCTACAACACCTATTAAGTGTACAAAGAAAAATCTTAAGTAATCTACATGGATTTTATGCATTCATCATATGTAAGTTAGCTAGCTGTGCTCAGTCTGAAACGTTATAGGTGGGTGAATCGATAGATCACTGATATTAACATTGTAAGAAGTACTTTATAGGTTCTCCTGTACAGTAATTTTGCTATGAATGCTTTTATTCTTTGTTTAATTTGTTCTCTGCATAGACTTAAAATAGTGTGTCATAAACAACATAAAGAGATGTAAAAATAGTCATGTTCCTGGCCATGATCAGTGTGGCTGGCATCTCAGTTGCTCACCATTAAGGCAAGGTTTGGCAATGTGGCCATCATGTCGGTCAAAATTGAAATTAATGTAATCATGTTTATTATTCAAAACATATGCATTTGAAGTACTTGTTTGGTTAAAATAGACCTACACATGGAAATTTGTATTTGACAAATTAAGATGGCAGGCATGCCTATTGGTCATGAATTGTACTGTTTTCAAGCAGACATACATTTAAAAACATGGGATTCCTGTGCTCTTGGCACAAAACTAATAATTTATAAATGTTTTAGTAGCATGCAGTCAACCTGATTTTCTTTGTGAACTTTATTAAATTAAACTATATTTGCTAATATAGTTTGGAAGAAAAACTGGTCAAGCTTTGTTAAAAGGGATCTATACAGTTTCTAATAAATCTTGTGGAAAAACTACCATCAAGAAATGGATAGTTCAAAAAACTACATCAACTATTTAGGTACACTGTTGAAGATCTGATAAAAGGGTTAATTATCTTTCACCATATGAGTATAGAGTCAAATAAAAAGTTAGTCCTAGAGAAATTAATGTTTAATTTTTTCATCTAAGCTTGCTTAGTACAAATTATTTAAGAGTGTGAGTTGTAAGAATAGTGTTATAGTTCGTCAGTTAAACTAAGAACAAAGGAAAGTTAGCAGATAAGTAAAAAAATAGGAGCTGTTTCAGATAAATGAATCTACAGTGAAAAAAAAGAAATCTTACGAAGATTGCACAAATTACACTTCTTTAAGTTATCTGTGTGTGTGTGTCCCTAGTGTGGCTCAGCAATGAGACTGATGGCTCTTAACAACAAACAAATTATCTGTAAATATAAGTGAAAGAAAATATCGTGTAAATGCTTTATACTAGCTTTGACTAGTATCTAACTTCTATGATTTGAAAAATTTTTAAAACAAGGAATTAAACTAGTTGTCTAATGTGTATATGTAGTTGTGTACCTATGTTTTAAGTACATTATTAGGCAATCTACTTTGGTACATGTTGACACAATGCTGATGACTTCAGAATTATATGAATCTTTGTCAAAATGTATGATGTAGTGCTCTGGATTCCTGAGCTGTTGAATGTGGTGTGAATCCATATGATGTCACAAAATATTCCCACACTTTATGCTATTGGTGCATTATGAAGTAACAGTCAATCCCTGAGCATAGATTATGGATGGTAGGGTGCTTCTGACCTATTTCTCTTTGATCAGTAGTTACAAACTAAGGACTGTGGCAGATAGCCTTAGTAACTTTGCCATAAATATAAAATACAAATTTTGGTATTTTTTCTGCCTCTGTTTCTATGTATATTGACACTGGTAAAAGAAAGTTTCATCAAATTCACTTACATGGGGTACCCTAGCTGTAAGTCTGAGGGCTTATAGTGCTAAAATTGGGTTCCAGCACTTTTGGTAGGCACAACACAGGTAGCAAAGGTAAAAACAATGTCGAAAGTTTAAACTATTGTGCCTCCCATGTTTTCTCTATGATACCATACATACTGAACCAGAAGGTGAAGTGTGCATAGGAATTGATGTATCAGGCTGTTGTTTTGTTAAAATTAAACCTTATTTTCAACAATGTAGATTTTTTTTTCACAACTTACTTGATTTAATACTGTTATTTTCCTTATCCATGTAGCTTTTCAGCCTGATCAACTCACTGATGAAGCAATACAATCTAGATGGGGTCAAAATGATATAATTGCTAAGATCGCCCATGAGGATGGGCACCCTGGAGTCACTATCAAACGAAGCAATACTCCCAGACTGGAACTTCAAAAATTTCTTGAAGATGTAAGGTATAATAAACAAAATATATTTCAACTTCTGTGATGTCCTGAAATGGATGTAAAATAAGATATGACAAAATAAAAAAAACATTAAAATTGATTTCTACTCATTTTTGATTAACCTTTACATAGAAGCTACTAAAATAAACTTCTTTGGAGTATTAAGTTACATATAGTTTATATATTTATGTGAAGGTAAGATTGAAAACCCTGTTAACTTACATTCCCCAGTAAAAACTAGAAAGGTTCTAACGTATCACTTCATATAAATACATTTGATGAGTGTGTATATTTGTCACTGGAAGCTGAAATTGTATACATCCTTATTTAATTTATCTCTTCGGTCATGTAAAGAATGGGTATTCTAAGCAGTAAACATATTTGTTTCTAAGTAAAACAAAATATTTTAAATTGATTTTAATTTGTGAATAACTGAGCTGAAATAGAAAGTTATTAGCTAGTAACACATGTAAAGAAATAAGAGACAATAGGTTTTGATTACACAACACTAAGTGCAATGTTTGAGATTATGCATTGAATAATATTGATGTAACTTTTTATGGATATTTATTATCTGTTGAAGACTTAATAGTGTTTTTATAGGGATGGAATATATCCTCTGACAGCCTTTGCAATGATGCACACTCCAACTGTTAAAACAAGACCAGTGTCTCCTGAGGTTAGAGAAGTTACTAAGTCTTCGTCACCAGAGTATAGTGATGTGGAAACTCGGCGAATTGTTAACATGATATGTAACATAAAACCTCAAGAAACTGGACAAAACCTTGTAGTAAGTGGCATGCTTTCACTAAGAAACTTTTACTTAAAATGGAAACTAAGCATAAATAGCAGAGTACAAGCATCTCACGTTAGGATAAACTGCTTCAAAGAACAATGTTAAGTTTTAAGAATTTAAGATTCCAAACTAAAAAAAAAAAAATTTTTCTTTCCAAAACATAATTACCTCCACCCACATTACAGCTGTTACTCAGTTGCTAGGGTTTCCTTCCTTTGCCCATCAAATCATTGATATGATTTTTTTCCATTTGCTCCAATCTTTTATTCCCCACTTAATCACCCTCAGCGATATCTATCTCATGACACTCTCCACCTATGTCAATGTGCCCTCTATCTTGGTACTGTGTATAAGCAACTCATTCAGATAATATTATCACTTTTTCTCAAGAAAATGTTCACTAACAGGTTTCTCTGTACTATGACTGTTGGAGATACTTTGAGCATTTTTCATATATTTTGTAAAAAAAGAAAAAAGAAATTTTGTTTGCCGAGCCAATATATGCATGAATTCAAAGATTATTGTTTCTAGCAGGGAGGCAAATCAGGTTTCTCCTATCCCATATTTGATATCTAGCATCACTCAACTGTTAATTAAGAACTTTTTTTTTACTGTGCTTTGAAGCTTTGTTGTTACCTTATTTTCATCACTTAAGAAACAGGAAAAGCTGAATTATTTTTGTATTTATCTTAAAATGCATTGATATACAAAAGTAATAGTTGTAATACCAATGAGTTAGTAAGTAATAATTGCTATCCACAAGCTAAATGTGTATGCTCATAATTACTAAATTGTTAAACTAGTTATAACAGGCATTGTCCGTGGAACAGCATGGAATGTGTACTTGATAAATGCTTAGTGGAAATACTGTTCCTATAGAACAGCATAGATTGTATTGCTTCATATCATATTGTAGCATCACAATCACAAAATTACTAAATGTAATTTAGTGGACAGCAATTGAAATCATAATGTAGCTATATTTAATTAATGTATGTGCCAAATTTAGGCATTCATTATGTGGTTAAAAAAAAAATTTTTGGCTAATGAGAAAATTACGAAATTCTAAAATAAGCTAGATGGATGAAAGTATGAAGACAATATTGAAAACTTTTGTAAATACAAAGAAAGTTACTATATATTAAAGTGTTAATCTATGTATATGAAGTTCCTAATGATGAGAGAAACCATTCTGTGAATAAATACTACATGAATTAGAGTTGTTTTCAAAACCAAAGTGTTTATCTAAACTATATATATTTTGCTTGTAGATGATGATAGTGTTAAGAATGGATGATAATATGAACAGGCAACTTTCTTGTGAAGTCAATGAAAATGACACTCCAACTGCTCTTGCAGATGAGCTTGTCCAGTATGGTTTCATTAACCAGGTTAGGATTTCAATTCATTTTTATTGTAAAATCAGTGAACTCACTATTACATGAAAAAACAAACAAATACGAATATATTTTGTTTTTAATAAAAATTTGTAAAATACATGAAACTGAACATATTTTATACACAAAATAATTAAAAGCTATTCAGAAAGGAAAGTTTTTACACCCAATGCTAGATGTACATATTAAATAAGTGAAAGCTTACATTGAAAATCAAGGTTTTCCTGAAATATCTCGATTTTTTTGATTTTTTTTTGAATAATGTGAAATATTTGTTAACTATAAAAAAGTATCATAAAAATAGGTATTTAATTACATTTAATAAGAGTTAGAAATGTTAATAACTTAATACTTTTGAAAAGTACAAAATTTATGTGAATGAGTCGTGTATGCAGTGGCATGTTTAGCACATGTGGCTCAACACAATTTTCCAACTCTTTGATGCATAGTGCTGTCGTGGTTAGACTTGTAGATGGATGGATGTGTCAGGATTCTTATTGAGAAAAGATATTCTTTTAGAAATATTGTTAGATAATTTAGATCCAAAGAACAACAGTTCAAAGAAAGAAGCTTTCATCGTTCTTTAAAGAAGTTGAAGAACTTACATAACAGAGCATTTAGGAAGAAACAGGCTTCATACCATTCTTTAAGCTGCTTTAGAGCACACCTATCATTTCCAAAATGAAGACTACGGTTTAGAAGAGAATTCTCTGAGACAAAGCCATTTAAGTGAAGTTGATGAATGCTCACAAGCAAAAGTTTCACACTTCAAAATCAGTGGCTGTATTCTAAAAGAAAATGGCCAATAATTGTAATCAAAGTATTCTGATCATTCAGTTATATAATTGTCAAGTCTTTTAATGCAGCAACAATGTTCTTTTTTGTTTTCGGTCTGCTAGAACATGGTCTTAGAAGCTAAAGTCTACATACTGGATCTGTGGAAAGTTTGTTAAAATGCTTGATTTAAGATGGACTTCACCACCCTTCACAGAAATGTGTTTTTTTGCAAAGGAATTGTCTTGTAGGACAGGCAGTTATCATGGTCATAAGACAGAGCAGTGAAGGAGGAATTGGTTTCAGAATTTTTTAACATAAGTTACCTAAATTATTAGCATTATATCTAGTAATTATCAGAATTAAATGAAGAGCTATTATTTCTCAGTAAGAAAAGCTCACAAATAATTTTACATTTTTACTTTGATAAAGGAATCTCGACATTAAGTTCAACATTTTTACAAGTTATAAACGCTGAACTCGTATTAACTAATGTTCTATTTTCAGGAAGATCATGATCTAGTGGCATCCTTGATTAAAGAAACTTTCAGTCGATGCCAGTTGCCAAACACAGTATTCACAACAGTTCCAGCTGTTTCTCCACTATTGTGACTATCTTGATGGACTTATTTTTTTGTATGTTGGTGTGGCTTGGATAGACTGATATAGTTTGGTACAATTAATCAACTTTGTTTTTAACTGATTTTCAGTGAATGTACAGTATGGTGTCTACATAACCTAAGATATTTGTAAATGTCATGAAACTTTTGACTTGAAGATTATTTGTACAAAAAAAAAATTTTTACAAGAAACATGCACACTGTAATATATAAAAATCTATGTTGTACAGATTAAGAACTAATCTTTTACATTTTGTGAGATTTCATTCTAGCTGGGCATTTTCTTTGGATTGTGAATAAATGGCTATTCAGTCTAGCAGCTATTCTTGTAAAGAGTTGTCTTTGGGGAGAATACCTAACCCATCTGTAAGAAAAATTTGGGTTGTACTGTGGTTTAGGGACATCGTTGGAGGGACACACCAGGATAAATGTAGATGTCTAGAGTGGTGCAATTTTTAGAAATTCATGTATTTTACACATATAGCAAAATAAATAAATTTTGTACCTTACAAGTGAAGGTTATGGAGAAAATGACAACTGCAAGAAACTGAGATTATGCTTAACATGTTTGTCATAGTAACAACTTTGTGAAATACCTTAAAAGTTCTAAATGTGAATGTGTTACATAACTGTATTTTAGACAATGCTACTTTTCAGTAAGCTGTATGGCTACTAAGTCATATGTACTGACTGTAAACATCTGCATCACCTCTTGTTTGGCATAATGATAACCATACAAATAAAAATGATAATGTTTTAAAAACATAGTAATACCAATAATAGTTATAATAACTTAGAATGTATAATAGAAAAACTATATAGAAAACAGAGTGAGATACACCCAAGAAAAAAATGCTAGTGATTGAGATCTCATAGCAAGGTGTTGAAGGAGTGTTTGAGCTAGTCAATATACATAGAACCATTTTTCTTGGACTTTGTATTGATATTTTAATAGATGTATTGTTGAACAAAATGTGATATTTTTACAACTTTAGCTAGCATACTGTAACTGTAATCCAGGAAAATATAAACCAAAGTTCTTTTTTACAGTACAACAAACTTCTTTGAATTCTAATATTGTCTTTATGACTATAGTGAGAATGTTGGAAAATCAGAAGAGATTCCAGCATCCTCACTATGGTTACAAGGAACTAAGTTTTTATTACTGGTAAATGATGATTAGCGTAACACTTTTTGTGACAGTTAAGGAATTGGAATATGATTTGTAAAATAAGTTCACCATCCTCATTTGTTTTGATAACATTTTCTAGGGCACCATGCTAAACACAGTTTCTTGTCAACTTTCAAAGTGTGTATGAATGACTTAGTTTCTTGTAATGAAGTCATTCTTAGTTCTGTGTTGCTGACTTATTCAGTTATTTTAACAAGGCATATTCATCCTTTCTCTTCTTTCATTGAAATTTTAACTTCAGAGAGCTTGACTCCATGCCAGAAAGTAAATATGTTTACACGCATACAGTATTTTCTAGATACTTATGCTTAACTGATGCCTTTAATTAAAGATCTGGTTTGTGTCAAGCCAGAAGTCTGGCTAATATGAGAAATACATATACTATCAATTCAGTCAATTTAGTGGTACTCCAGTGTTTTAAAATCTTTTTAATCCTAAGATACAGATGACTGTTATCCATTATATAAACGTTGTATTACTAAACCCTATATGGACTGATGAGCACCTTTCAGGTATCTACTGTACATCTGTTTATAATATTTAAATAGAATTGATAATTCTAACTCTATTTCAACAATTTTTAACAACAAAATATTTTAGAATTGATATTGTATTGTTTTCAGCATTTATATAGTGTAATTTGCAAAGAAAAAAATGTTTAATTTCAGCACAGTTTCGAAGAATCTAACCTGTAATCAATGCATTTATTGATTTGTTTTTAATTATTCTGCAAATCATATGGTATAGGTTTATATTTGCTAAAAAATTATCATCTCTTAAGAATACTTGAATAAATCTCATTTACCTAATAATGTATATAATTTAATGCACTGAATATTTGAGTAATATGTAATAGAAAAATTTACTGTTTGTCATGCAATAAACAGAATGCTAGAGACAGGACTGTGCAGCTTGACAGGATTGAATTAATAGTTTTTTTAAATTATGGGCTTGCTGACCATGGTACGCTCTTGAGATCAAGGTATTAATTACTGATTGTGCTAGTATGGTCGAGTACAGATGAGGTGTCTAAATCTGAGGCTCGTACCAGAATAATAAATAATGTGAGTACTTTCAGTAAAATTTTTATTTTTTATTTAGTACCAGTTTTTATTTAATGTAATAAGCAACATTATGCAAGAGCAGAAAAAAATGCTTGAGTCAGTTGAATGGTGTATTGCTATAACTATGTCGACAGTTGTGCATCATGATGGCATAAAAGTAATCTGACTATGAACATTGTGGATGGATGTTATATCAGCAGGTCTGATTCTGTCTATGAATCTTCCTGTATGTATGATTAGGATTTAAAACATAGTTATTTGTAAGTAAAGTAATCCTGTGATTTTATAAACAAACAAAACTTTTGTAAACCTAAAATATGTTTGAATAATACAATGTGCTCTGGATCAATGGATGATTTCATTAATGTGTGGAGTTGTTTTATAGATATCAGAAATATGAGTTTTGTGCACGTATTCACATCAGAAAATATTGTTTTAACACATCCCTCAACGGGACCAAGGAGTGTTTTACACTACAATTTGTTGAATATTAAAAGTAAGTTCAATTCGGAAACTCCCAAAAAGGGTGGTTTTGGATGTATCTTTTCAAGAAAAATTTTCATTTGTTAATTGAGAAATTTTTAATTGAAATACAGCATCCTCAAGTCTCCATACTAGCTAGTACTGATGTCTACTGGGAGTAAATTCAGTATGTATCAATAAAGCCACCTTCTCATCATCAATTGCCAATCTTTTATGCTTCTGCTATCACCTTTTTAATTTTAGCTTTCAATTGAGATACAAACGATTTCACCTGCGATTCTGTATGGAAGGTCGAAGTATCACAATAGTCAGCAGTAGGATGAGCAGACAGGAACACTTTGAAAGTATCTACAGGTAAGATATTGTACTCGGCTTGCTGCACAATATCTACCAAGATGGTTCTAAATGGTTCCTGAATACATCTGCTCGTCATTTGGAGACTTCCATGCTTCTTGTGCTTGGCTGTTAAGCTCATGATGCACTGACGGATTTCAGTCACCTTACCACTTCAAATTACTTTTCGCTGCCCCAGTGCTAAAAGAGTGCAGGAAATGCCTTGTTTTTAGCCAATAAAAATGTCACAAAAATTTCAGTTCAAATTAAGAAAAACCCAATTGGGTAGTTGTTTTTCAACAAATATTGCCCCCCACTGGCTCATAAGAAACATACTTGTCGAAGAATACTCTATTTTTAAAACAATGAACATCATTTTTCTTCCATGTATTAGAAGTCAAAACATAGTAATTACTCATGTTGAAGTTTACAGTGTTGTTTATGCTGTAATAACGTTTTTGTGATTTAAATTAAAACTGAAAAGTGCAGTCACTATGCAATATTATAAAAAAATGGATAAACTGCCTTTTTGCTGTATTTTCTAATAAAGATTAATAATTCAATAAGAGCATTTCCAGTGATCCTGAAACTTTGCAAGATTATACTTTAGCAGAATGTGACTCTTAATATACAACCTGTTTTGTCTTTATGTAGAAAAACATTAATAATCTTTTCTCTTTCACAGTTTATTATGGATAATGATACATTACTTGCATAGATCAAATGGTTAGTGAATGACATACTTTGGTCAGCAAAAGGTCAGGGAATTTCATTTTTTACAAGGTGTAGGAACTATGTATGCTTAAATGTCAGCATGTTGTGTAACATCTTTAACTTTCAGACAATAACTACATCATTCTTAACATGTGCATCACTCTTGGTGTTTACTTTCAACTAAACCATGGTACCACTGAGAAGTTTCTTGCAGACTTGTGCATTTCACCCATAACCACCTAGGCTGACAGGCTGATTATTTTTAGTTTCTGGCAGAAAAACAGGCAGTTGATTATCCATGATGTCCAGAATTCATTCAAAAATGTTCGGAATAACTATTATATTAATTGATTTTCTAAATTTCTATTTTCTTTAAGAGAGTAAACTATTGGTTTCATAGCAACTAGCATATTAACAGTCATATCTTAACAGTCATTTCATATTGGTGTATTTTTTAGTTTGTGCTTAATTAGACAAAGAACATTTAATTAAATTAAACACAATATTATATCATAATAGTCTTTAAGCCATTACTTGCAATTTAAAAAAAAAGTCAATGTTTTATAATGACTCCATAAAATACCACCAACATTTTAAAGCATAATGTTAATGTCTGTCTTTTGTGCCATTCTCATCAGAATTTTTCATGGTTTGATCAGATTATGTAAGAGTGAATTGTTGAAATATATGTATCTGTGTGTAGAAGACATTTCCTAGTTTGAAATTTATTTTAATCACATTAAAATAATAATATTACTTCCACTCTTTGGACATGTCAGTGTTTATATAAACATTTGGAATTACTTTTTAATACCAGACAACAGTAAACTATGTTGCACAGTAGTTGTATCAAAACTATCAGTAACTTCAATTTACAGTGTGATTATTCATATTGAAACAAAAAGAATTCACAGATAAATAAATATAAGTATAATGATTTTACTTTGAGCCAAAGGCTGTAAAACCACATTTTCATTTATTATATTTGCATCAATTATGAATTGATGTGTACATCAGCCATACAGACACAAAGTGTAATTTCATTTGTTTAATGAAAAGCCAAGTAAATTAGTTTCTTAGGGAACTTCACTGATTTCTATATGTTTAGCTTCAACAGACTGTTTAAGTTTAGTTCTAAGTGATTTGTATTAAATATTTAGTCATAGAACAAATTCCTAATTCAATTGAACGTAGTTATTTTAATTCTAAAACATCTATATAGCTCCCTATAGGAAATGCCGAAGTTAAACGTAGAATAGTATTTATGTGTAGGTAATTAGTGAATTAATATGTGAAATTTGACCTTTCAAAATGTTATTCAGTCTCAATTTGATTATATTCAGTGATTCATTCATAGGTCTGTAAGATTAAGAAATTTTGTTATCCTTCTTAAAAACTCTTGTTTTATTACATTCACTTTTGTTTATTATTTGAAAAGAATTTCTTAGCAAAGTATCTTGAAACATGTTTGAAAAATGTATGAGTGAACATCTATAGGAGACATGGTTGTTGAGTTTCTAAAGTGAAACATTCAAAGGATTTGTAAGTGAAACTTAACTTGGCATACCTGTGTTATAACATAAAAGATGTATTCTTTGTAGGATTTATATGTGAATATAACATGAAACATGCTCATTGAACTGTTTGAGTATCTGAAGAAACATTTTTGTCGAGTTTGCTTGTGTATGCATAAATTGTGTTTGTGGTATTTGTGTAGATGCATGTAAGAAACATTTGTACAGTTTGTTTGTGAACGTTTACTGGTATATGTTTGTGGAAGTTGGGTATGAATATACAGTGAAATATGATTTATGAATTGTGTGCGAATATGTAATAATTAGATATGTTTACAGAATGTGTGTGTGTGTATGTTAACTGTTTGAGTATAGGTGAGGATCAAAGTGAACATGTCACAATCTTCTACAGTTATATTCAAAGTTTAATTAAACAACTTTATGATCAATGTATGTCAGTTAATCTGGTACCAAAAGGAAATATTTACATAAATTCTAAATCCTTGCTTTTCTGGATCACAGAAAACATCTCCCCCATTTTAAATTTATTTACTGAATTTTTTTAGAGTAACTCATTCTGATTAGGGGTATTTTTTATTTATTGTTAGAAAAGTCTAAAATGTAAAAATTAAAAATTTAGTAGATTAGGTAAGAAATCTTAAATTAAATCAAAAAATTACTTGTGATAACACAAGCACATTAGAAGATGTGTTTGTATAATTCAAGCGGGTGTATACGTGCTGGTAACTCATTCATTTGGTTACACAAAGCTGTCCTGCTGTGATAAATGGTGTTTTCCATACTCTGAGAAGGACTCTAAGTATAGCTGTAAAACAACTACACAAAATTAAACCAGCTTGGAAAACGTCTTAGCTTTGGCTATAATAATAAATAATATGTAATTTATACATTACAGTATGCAGTCATTCTAATAAAAAAAGCGGGTTAACTTAGATTTATTTTGTATTTTTCCACTATTAATTTTGCTCTACATCACTGTTTTTGCTACAGTTAGTGTTAGGGTAGAGAAAATAACAGATAAAATATGAAGTTTTGTTTTAAAAAAAGTTTTGGTATTCATATAGGAGGTTCTATAGATTATTCAACTGAAATACGAAAACTTTAAGATGTAAAAAGTGTTTTTGTTCTTGACATGAAAAATGGCCTTGCATTTAGACTAATCAGTTTTGAGTTAAATTGATTCAGTCAATTAAAAGACAAATCTTTAGTAAAAATACTAATACACTTAGTAAATTCAGAATTACAACAGACATTAATTCTTCAATGCAAACTCAGACAAATAAACCAACCCCATGCACATAGGGTTAAAACTATATTATAAACTCTTAGATGTGCCTGTAGAATTTGTGTGAATTGTGAGAGATATTTGTGTGAAAAATGTTTGTGTGGGATTCAGGAAGAAGATCTACTTCTTTGGAACTTGTTTGTAATTATGTAAGGAATGTTTTTTAGAAATTATTTGTGGATCA